TGAAATGAGTCCGGTTCAAAAATATGGAACGCTTCACGAATTTGCGTGTCATCCTTGCGCAGCAGGGGCCATGCTAATCTTCTCTGTATCGTTCCATGCTAATCTTCTCTGTAATGGGAAACAATCGTCCATCTCCAAGTTTAATTTAGGATAATAAAATGCTGAACATTTCACCAGCCGAACCGAACGGTTTGATTAACATGATCTCCTTTCTCAAACGATTTAAAATGTCCGGAACGTATTTTTTTTCTAACATGAAATGAGTCCGGTTCAAAAATATGGAACGCTTCACGAATTTGCGTGTCATCCTTGCGCAGGGGCTAATCTTCTCTGTATCGTTCCAATTTTAGAATAAACTGCCGAAATTTCTAAACGGTCCATCTCATTTGAAACAATTTCTAAGTCCATTCAATAAGTTTAAATGTAACCCAGGATAATAAAATAGCTGAACGCATTTCACCAGTACGAACCGAACGGTTTGATTAATTTCGAAATATAAACGATCTCCTTTCTCAAACGATTTAAAATGTCTAGCGGAACGTATTTTTTCTAACATGAAATGAGTCCGGTTCAAAAATATGGAACGCTTCACGAATTTGCGTGTCATCCTTGCGCAGGGGCCATGCTAATCTTCTCTGTATCGTTCCAATTTTAGAATATGTACTGCCGAAGCGGGTACATGCTAAACATTGTCCGACTTCGTTATGTAGGGCACGAGTAATGGGAAACAATTTCTCGGTCCATCTCATTTGCATAAGTTTAATATGTAACCCAGGATAATAAAATAGCTGAACGCATTTCACCAGTACGAACCGAACGGTTTGATTAATTCCGAAATATAAACGATCTCCTTTCTCAAACGATTTAAAATGTCTAGCGGAACGTATTTTTTCTAACATGAAATGAGTCCGGTTCAAAAATATGGAACGCTTCACGAATTTGCGTGTGTCATCCTTGCGCAGGGGCCATGCTAATCTTCTCTGTATCGTTCCAATTTTAGAATATGTACTGCCGAAGCGGGTACATGCTAAACATTGTCCGACTTCGTTATGTAGGGCACGAGTAATGGGAAACAATTTCTCGGTCCATCTCATTTTATCATAAGTTTAATAAGTTTAATATGTATTTTTTTTAACATGAAATAACCCAGGATAATAAAATAGCTGAACGCATTTCACCAGTACGAACCGAACGGTTTGATTAATTCGAAATATAAACGATCTCCTTTCTCAAACGATTTAAAATGTCTAGCGGAACGTATTTTTTCTAACATGAAATGAGTCCGGTTCAAAAATATGGAACGCTTCACGAATTTGCGTGTCATCCTTGCGCAGGGGCCATGCTAATCTTCTCTGTATCGTTCCAATTTTAGAATATGTACTGCCGAAGCGGGTACATGCTAAACATTGTCCGACTTCGTTATGTAGGGCACGAGTAATGGGAAACAATTTCTCGGTCCATCTCATTTGCATAAGTTTAATATGTAACCCAGGATAATAAAATAGCTGAACGCATTTCACCAGTACGAACCGAACGGTTTGATTAATTCGAAATATAAACGATCTCCTTTCTCAAACGATTTAAAATGTCTAGCGGAACGTATTTTTTCTAACATGAAATGAGTCCGGTTCAAAAATATGGAACGCTTCACGAATTTGCGTGTCATCCTTGCGCAGGGGCCATGCTAATCTTCTCTGTATCGTTCCAATTTTAGAATATGTACTGCCGAAGCGGGTACATGCTAAACATTGTCCGACTTCGTTATGTAGGGCAAAGTAATGGGAAACAATTTCTCGGTCCATCTCATTTGCATAAGTTTAATATGTAACCCAGGATAATAAAATAGCTGAACGCATTTCACCAGTACGAACCGAACGGTTTGATTAATTCCGAAATATAAACGATCTCCTTTCTCAAACGATTTAAAATGTCTAGCGGAACGTATTTTTTCTAACATGAAATGAGTCCGGTTCAAAAATATGGAACGCTTCACGAATTTGCGTGTCATCCTTGCGCAGGGGCCATGCTAATCTTCTCTGTATCGTTCCAATTTTAGAATATGTACTGCCGAAGCGAGTACATGCTAAACATTGTCCGACTTCGTTATGTAGGGCACGAGTAATGGGAAACAATTTCTCGGTCCATCTCATTTGCATAAGTTTAATATGTAACCCAGGATAATAAAATAGCTGAACGCATTTCACCAGTACGAACCGAACGGTTTGATTAATTCCGAAATATAAACGATCTCCTTTCTCAAACGATTTAAAATGTCTAGCGGAACGTATTTTTTTCTAACATGAAATGAGTCCGGTTCAAAAATATGGAACGCTTCACGAATTTGCGTGTCATCCTTGCGCAGGGGCCATGCTAATCTTCTCTGTATCGTTCCAATTTTAGAATATGTACTGCCGAAGCGGGTACATGCTAAACATTGTCCGACTTCGTTATGTAGGGCACGAGTAATGGGAAACAATTTCTCGGTCCATCTCATTTGCATAAGTTTAATATGTAACCCAGGATAATAAAATAGCTGAACGCATTTCACCAGTACGAACCGAACGGTTTGATTAATTCGAAATATAAACGATCTCCTTTCTCAAACGATTTAAAATGTCTAGCGGAACGTATTTTTTCTAACATGAAATGAGTCCGGTTCAAAAATATGGAACGCTAAACAATAGAAAGGTTAACAAAACAGAAAAAGAGAACAATACAAATACATTAAATCAGTGAATGAAAGAATGTTTAGAATGTCAAGAAACTAATTTTAACATCTAAAATAATAGTTTATTCAGATATATGAGATCTGAAT